AAGAGAAAGAGCAAAGATGTCTGCTTTCGGCTCAGGTCATGACCCCAGTACTCCGGGATCGAGCCCCACGTGGGACTCCTTGCTCAGCGGGGGTCTGCTTCTCCCTCTCTCTGCCCCTCCCCACCATTCGTGCTCTCTCTCTCAAATAAATAATTTTTTTTTTTTTAAAGAGAAAGAGCTAGGGAAGCTTAACATTCCATTCACTGGCTCAACAAATATTTACTCAATCAATGAATGAACTAGTGGTCAGTGAACTCTCAGGCACTGGTAGGTGAGAAGAGTTATCGCCGTGGCAAAAAAATGTTAGTCTGAAAGCTGGGACTTCAAGTCTTGTGACTGATATTCTCCTTTCAGTTCAACTAATTGCCCTAAATGTGGACAGACTTGATAGGCAAATTATTTTTACAGCAAAATATCCCATCCCTTCATTTGACGGATTTCTTCTCAGAGTTACCAGGGCGACTCAGAATAAAAAGTCCATTTGTTAGGGGCGCCTAGGTGGCTCAGTTGGTTAAGGAACTGCCTTCGGCTCAGGTCATGATCCTGGAGTCCGGGGATCGAGTCCCGCATCGGGCTCCCTGGGTGGCTCAGTTGGTTAAGCAACTGCCTTCGGCTCAGGTCATGATCCTGGAGTCCCGGGATCGAGTCCTGCATTGGGCTCCCTGCTTGGCGGGGAGTCTGCTTCTCCCTCTGACCCTCCTCCCTCTCATGCTCTCTGACTCTCATTCTCTCTCTCTCAAATAAATAAATAAAATTAAAAAAAAAAAAAGTCCATTCGTTAGTTTCAGCTTCCAAATAATCTCATGTTGTAATGAATAGGTCCCGTCTAATGAAAAGCACGAAACTCCAAACTTCATCTAGAAGTAGAGCTTCTCCCTAAATTGATAAAGGGGATTGAGAGTACACTTGTCGTGATGAGCACTGAGTAACGGATAGAACTGTTGAATCACTATATTGTACACCCGAAACTCAAATAACACTGTTTGCTAATTATACTTAAAAAAAAAAAATAAAGCTTCTCTCCATCTCCAGCTTGGATCTCGGTGGGGGTCGGTGGTCACTAGGTTTGGCTTCTTGTTCCCTTTCTCTGTCCGCTCCTCCCCTCACCCCTCTTGCTAGCTGAGGCTTCTGATCCTTCTAGGGCTGGGGGTTAGGGAGATGGAGGGCTGGTTGGGAAGAGGCAGGACGTGGTTTCTGACTGGGGCTCTTGTGATCTGGCACTGCTGCTCCCTGGGCTCGGGTGGATGTTCTGAATCCTTTAGACACAGTCCCCCCTGGGGACACCCCACGGTCTCTCCCTTACTGTACCCCTGTCAGCCGTCGGGCATTCTACATACAGTCCCTCCACCTCTTCTGGGGTCATGGGGCCCCTTCTAGACAGTTCTCTTGGGCAGGATTTTACAAGGCTGTAAGCTGGGTCCCTCCTTATCACCCACGTCCGGTTCAGAAGGAACCTGCAGCTCTCTGTCCGCGCATCTCTGCACCTGCCTCTGGGGGGAGGTAGAGACATCACAACCTCTCAGTGTGACATGGGCCCTTTCTCTGCTCTGCACAGCCTGGTGCCTGTGGATTCTGAGGCCAACGTCACGCACCAGTCCCCTTCTCTCTCTCTCTCTCTCACAGACACACACACAATCACACATGTGCACAGATGCACACAATTTGTAAAGCTGTTAGGATGAAAGATTCCCATGCCCCAGACACGGTGACCACAGGTTTGAGGGTAGTTTTTGGTTATTGTTTTAAATATTTTTTAGAAGATTTTATTTATTTATTTGAGAGAGAGAGCGCATGAGCAGGGGGAGCGGCAGGCCGAGGGAGAAGCAAGTTCCCTGCTGAGTACGGAGCCCGATGTGGGGCTCGATCCCAGGACCCTGGGATCATGACCTGAGCCGAAGGTGGACGCTTAACCCACTGAGCCACCCAGGCTCCCCGTGTACCGTAATTTTAAAACCAGGGCTCAAGACAACGTACAGGAGAGCTGTCATCGTCTTAATGTTGTGATCTTTCTTTTCATAATTTTCTACTCACTTAGAAACACATAAATTACATAATGTAATGTTGTGTGTATACGTTTTACTTAAATTTTATTACCTTGGTACTTAGTGTTCTACAACTTGCTGTTTTCTTTTTAAAAATTTTTATTTTAATTCCAGTTAGTTAACGTACAGTGTCATGTTAGATGCAGGTGTGCCATGTAGTGATTCAACACTTCCACACATCACCTGGGGCTCATCACAGCAAGTGCCCTCCTGCACCCCGTCACCTATTTCCCCCATCCCCCACCCCCTCCCCTCTGGTGACCATCAGTTTGTTCTCTGTAGTTAAGAGTCTCTTCCTTCCTTCCTCCCTTCCTCCCTCCCTCCTTCCCTTCCTCCCTTCCTCCCTCCCTCCCTCTCTTCCTTCTTTCCTTCCTTCCTTCTTTCCTTCCTCTCGCTCTCTCCCTTTTCCCTTTGCTTGTTTGTTTTGTTTCTTAAGTTCCAAATAACAAATGAAATCATATGGTATTTGTCTTTCTGACTTATTTCGCTTAGCATTATACTCTCTAGCTCCATCCACGTCGTTGCAAATGGCAAGATCTCATTCCTTTTGATGGCTGCATAATATTCCATTGTATATATATACCACCTCTGCTTTATCCATCTGTCGATGGACATTGGGCTGCTTCCATATCTTGGCTGTTGTAAATAAAGCTGTTATAAACATAGGGGTGCATGTATCCCTTTGAATTGACAATCAGCTTTTTTCACTTAATACTTCCTTTAAATCTTTAATATGTATAGGTTTTATTAGTTCTTTCTGATGGCTGTAGAGTATTCCAAAATATATGTACTTTATTTAGCTCTTCAAACATTAATGACCATTAGTTAGCTGCTAATTTTTCACTTTTACAAATATTGCTACAAGGATTGTCTTGGGACATGCTTTTGTGTGGCTGTACGGATTATTCCCTGGTAGACGCCATGAAGCAGCAACACCAAATGCAAAGATGCCCTGACTCCTACAAACAACAGCTTAGTTCCCCACACTTTTGCCTAAACTAGGGATAAGTCTTTCAAATATTTATGGAAGTGGGCAGGTAAGAAATAATAAGATCTTGTTCTTCTAATGTTCCTGTCTTTGATAGTAAGGTAGGGTGCGTTCTGCATGTCTGTTCTTCATCTGTGTTTACGTACTGTACTAATAGTTACGTACTCTTCACCCACTTTCTTATACTTTGTCTTTTTTTATTATCTTGAAGTTTAAAAAGAACACTGGTCCCTTATCTGGTATCATACTGTAATCACTTTCTACCCCCCCACCACTGCCAATGACCTCTTATGGTATGTATTGTTACAGATAAGTTTAGAGCTTTTTGCATCCCACAAGATCTTTATGATATGTCTAGGTATAGCTTTAACTTCATTTCTCTGGCTTCAGACTCTTTGTGATTCCTGAATCCGAGAAATATGGTTTCCATCTATTCTGGAAGAGCCCTAACCATTATTTCTTAAAGCACTACCTCTCCTCAATTCTGTTCATTTTCTTTTTCCAGAAGTCTTATTCAACATATACCAGACCTTTTACCTCCATTTTCCAAGTCCCCTAACTTTGCTACCATACGTCATTATCTCCCTGAGCTTTAATCTGTATAATATACTTATTCTGTTTAAATATGCTGTGTAATTATTCTGTATAAATTACTTTATTCTGTATAATTCTGTTCTACCTTCTGTTTCACTAATTCAGTCATTAGCTAGTTGTCTAATGACTAATGACTTCGTTTCTAATTTCAATGCCTAAATATGTCTTTTGTATTTCAAGTAGTGCCTTTCTTAGATATGCCTGTTCTTTTGGGTATCTTCTTATGTTTTAGAGTCTATCCTTTATTTCTTCAATTATTTTAAGCATGCTTATATAAGGCATTTATCAGTTTATCTGACTCTTGGAAGTTCTCAGCAATTTGATCCTGCTATGTGTTGAGTCTGAGGACTTGCCTTGGATGATTGCTTCTGTGAGCGTTTCTAATTTTGGATCTGGAAGTCATATTAAGTGGAGCTTCATCTTCAGTAATTCTGTGTGATCTGTGTTAAGGAAATCAGCCTAGACCCGGTTCTTAGTTCAGTTTTTTAGCCGAGAGAGAGTTCTCAGACAACAAAAACAGTGTGAATTGCAACCCCCAACATCCCATGACATAGTTACGAATTTTCGGAATTTGAAGGAGAGGCTTTTTCTTTTCAAACCAGAGCTCAGTACGTGTAAGTTATCACTGTCTCCCTGTTGCAAAGGACAGAGCCTCTTTAACTCAGTTTCGAACCCCTTTGAGAGCTCTGGTTCTATAGTAGGATCTCCATTATAATCGCCTTCCTGGCGGAAGTCTAAGGCTTTATTCCTCATCCCCAGGGACCTAGATCTCAAGACCCCTGCATCACTGAAACTGATGTCTGCTCCCCACCCCAGTCCCAGGGCCACTGAAAAGTTAGTTCATACTGCAAACTTTTCATTACATCCACGGGGATATCTCTTACTATCTTTGGAGCTATGTATTTAAAAAGACATTTGCCATATTTTAACTGGTATATCTAGATGTTTATAACAGGCAGTTTTTCAGGTAATTTAAGATATCAGAATCTTCCAGATGAAACTTCAAAGAAGACTGTCAGGTTTTAACATCCAGTTGACAGATGTATCAGTTGAGAGACAAAGGAACACAGCACTGGAAAGAATCTTAAAACCCATTAAGGCAGTCCCGGCCAGACCATTCACTTCAGAGAAGCAGAGACTAAGACCCAGGGTAACTATGACCTTCCCAGGGTCACACAATTGGCTAGTGATAAGTCTGGGCAACAAATCAGGTCTCCTGAACCCCAACCTAGCATTTTTCCCACCAAATATATCCTCCTAATTTGTAGCACTGGGGCAGCGTCATGTGTGATATACGACACTTGTCGCCCTGTATTTGCTTTTGCATTCTTTCATTTCAGTAGGTGAACGCCAGTCCCTGGGAGAAAAGAACCAAAATGTCTACTAGAGCAGAAGCAAAGGGAGTGGGAGCTATTTCCAGTGATGGGGATTTAAACACGGCTCACGCGCAAACCTCCAGGAAAGGTAAACTCAGGTACTGGCTATAGCTAAAACTGGTATCTGTGTCATCTCGACTTCCCTTGTGGTGATATACATACAGCATGATGCTCCCACCAACTGCCAAGGGCTCTATATAGCTGTAAAGCGTCTTTTGTGGAGAATTATTTCACTTCTTGCAAGAAACCTTGAAGGTATATAGGACAGGTAGGTATCACAACGTATTTATAGATGAATGAAAAAATTCAGAGCAGATGTCAGGTGGAAAACATGGAAACCGGTCCTGGGTTTTCCGATTTTAAGTCCAGGAGCATCCAGTTAGGTCTCTCTGCCCTGCCTCAAAGAGAACGGGCTTTTCCTTTCCACCATGTCACAAAGTCATTTTTCCTCCTCTACATTGTCTATATCACAACCAGATGCTTTTCTATAATATGTCCTAAGAAAACCTGGTGAACACCTTATTTTCCCCCAAACTTTTAATGGTTCATAATTACGTGAGTCATTAATTCTCTTATGGAAATAGACTTTTCATAAGATAACACCTTTGAACAGTAAAGCACTAACTAAGGTGGCATGCTTTACAATCCTCAACGTTTCAGCCAGTGTGTCTGCTTGAAGTGAGCATGTCTCAAGGACTAGAGGATTCTTCTAATCTTACCCATCAAAGGAGAAATAGGAGATGTGCATTCTAATACTCAGTCTACAGTTAACTAGGAACCGTTTGACCTGGAATGAATCCCATTGCCTCAGCTTCCTCATCTGGAAAATGGGAGAGCTTGATTCTTGTATCTCGAAGACCTCATCCACATCTAAGTAGTTAAGAGTCTATCGGCCAAATTCTCCTATCCCAACTCTCTCTCAAAATCAGTAATATAAAGAACTTATAGATAAAAATTTTCCGTGTTTGCAGTCCTGATTTTGCCATTTATGAGCTATGTGACTTAGGGAAATTACTTAAACTTTGTGCGTCTCAGTTTCCTTATTCATAAATACATGATAATAATAGTACCTACCTCACAGCATCTCCACGAGAATTAAATGTTATAATATGTAAACCACTAAGAACAATGCCTGGTACACAGTAAACACCATATCAACTCTAACCATGATTATCACCTCTCACACAGTGTCCCCCCCAAACCCCATTTTGGCAGTGGTGGGACTCATATGTGGTCTTTCTGGTTTCTTCTACAGTCTTCTAGGGCATCCACCCCACCATGCTGCTTAGTCCCCTGCTGACTCTCTAGGAGCTACAGCTCTATCCAGTCCCTTAGTAACCCATTTGACCTGTCATTACAAATGGCATCATGCTAATAATAATCCTTTTTTGGCCAAATCTTGTCCCACCTGATAAGGTAGAGCCCCAACTACTCTTCATAGTCCCACCTGGGTATTTTGTTGAGTCTCCAAGTATTTCTCACAGTGCTTATGCATAAACCCTGCTGGTTGCTTCATCCATTGGTGACCGGCATCAATTTCCACTCATCTCTCTCTCTCTCTGGCCCACACTTCCTGGGCACTCCTGGGTCCTCTTCTCACACCCTCAGGGCACTTCTGGGGCTTTCTCTAGGTCCCCATGTCCCCAAAGGCTACTGACATCTTTGCTGGGCTTGACTGCACTTCTAAGAGACTCACAGAACCAAATCCAGCTATTCCGTGGGACACAGAGAAATGCCCCTCCCCCATTACATGTCACATCCAGTCACCTCTGATAACCACGTGCAGCCCCGAGTGGGCAGTTTTCAAGGGGACACTCAAAAGTCACAGGCAGAGGGGCGCCTGGGTGGCTCAGTCATTAAGCGTCTGCCTTCAGCTCAGGTCATGATCCCGGGGTCCTGGGATCAAGCCCGATATCGGGCTCCCCGGTCCGCGGGCAGCCTGCTTCTCCCCCTCCCACTCTCCCTGCTTGTGTTCCCTCTCTCGCTGTGTCTCTCTCTGTCAAATAAACAGAATCTTAAAAAAAAAATGTCACAGGCAGAAATCCCATGTCCACCATCACTGATCCTCCTCCATGGGTCTCCAGCTACCTCACAGCATCATGGCTTCTCACCACGTTCAGCCTTCCAAACTTTGCCAGAATGCCCTCATGGTTGGAAGCCTGTCTGTCTGAATGGTAGACTGAGGGCTGTCACTTCCAGGTATTTGTCTCTCTGTGGAGAACTTGGAAGGGCAAGAATGGCAGCGAGAATTCACGAACAGCATCAGGCACAGCTTCCTTCCTCCCCATCCAAAGCCCACGTGGAGGTCAATATACCCCAGCCCATGGAAAGAATGTCATCCAGAGGCCAGGCTACAATAACATCCCTCTCTGAAAGTCCCAGAAATAAACAAGCAAGCACACCGCTTGGAGAAAGTATCTCCATCCAGGTTAAAACTAGGGAATTGTTCTACCACACACTACGAATTCTAAGGCTCATTGATGGGTTTAATACATTCTGGATGAGGTTGAGAGAGGCTGCCAAGAGCTGACAGAAGTCTCCTCCTTGGAGCATGGTACAGTGATATAGGAAGAGAGGGAGGACACCCGTTACTGTGAAGCGTTGGCTCACGCTCCCTAGCTCTGAATGGCAGTGTCTAGAGGCCAGCAACCACCAGCAAGGTGAGGCCACCACAAGCAAGGGGAGTCTGGGATGTGGCGGGTGAAGCTCACATGGCCCACATCCTGCTGTTTCCCCATCCACAGCTTACCCATCTTTCTGAAGATCTGCAGCTTAGTATCTTGGGCCAGTGCAACAGACCGAAGCAGTACATGCGTGATGACAGAAATTAACTTGGAATTTTGGGGGACTTGTCCTCAAGATTGACCAGGTCATTGCAAAATTCAAATGGAAGAGTAGTTACTTCCCTTGAACTGGCAAAAGAATTCCAAGGCCTCCTCCTGCCTCCCACCAGCTGCCACCTACCCCCTCATGCACACACTGTCACCACCACATGGTGGCAGGCCTCAGGCCAGCAAAGGTGGCCCATTTCCATACATGGCAAGGGTTTCAACACATGGGAACTAAATCACAGATGACTGATCTCTATGGTCCAAGACTGGGGCATGAGGGATGTGTAAATACGCTAGCACAAAGAAAAGAAAAAGAAAAGGAATGTATTAGATCAAAGAGTGATCATGGCATATTAAATGCATGTTTGGTGCCAGGCACTGTTCTAAGCACTTTATGTGGATTAATTCACTGAATCCTCCCAACATTCCTTCAAGGAAGGTTCTCCTCCTAGCATCCTCTCCATTGAAGGAGCCAGAATTCAAGCAGAAAGGAAGTAACTCATTTAAGTCATCGAAGCACAAAGAGGTGTCATCTGGATTCACACCAGAGCAGTATGATTGCTAACCATCATATTACACGGCTGCGCTTATTTTATCTGGGGAAACTGAAGAATATTTTCATTTCCGATTTAAGATCTCAAGAATAGTAAGAAGCTCAGAGTATAGGAAGTAAATCAACAGGAAAATGTGCAAGAAGAGTCCAAAGTAGAGGACAAAGGAAACTAAATATATGACTTCCGAATAAACAGTAGGAAGGAAAGAAATGATCACTACAGGAAATCAAATCAGTGAGATAGAGCCACGGCTTAGAAAAGTCATGGAAGATGCAGAGGGAGACCAAGACAAGTGGCTCAAAAGATGATGGGCATGAAGAAGGGAAGAAAATAGAGACTGCATAAGAATAAATGAAAGCAATTTAATCAAGCATCCAGTTCACTGAGTCTATACCTTCAAGGAAAGTATGTGGAAAAACAAAAGAGACAACCTCAATGTAGAAAAAAAGTAAACTCAAATCATCAAGGAAATCGCAATGAAAAATATATACAAGAGCTGAGTCTTGGACAGCAGATGCCCTTCACAGCAATAAAATAATTCCTGACTCAGGTTGATCAGACAGAGAGATTAAGCACACGTAATCGTGGGGACAAAGGAGACAGAAGCATTTCAAATGTGTAAGGTGTTAATCACGGGGAAGCAGATAATATCCATAATTTCTATGGAAATAACGTTTACAAATTTGAATTAAGAAAAATTGCACACGTCAAAAAAACATGCAAGAGGTGAAGAAAGGTGTCAGAAAGTTAACCCTTTTAAAACAAACAAATTATGTCTTGGTGGTTTCACTAGGAAAACTCAGTGAGAGTCTCTGGAGTAGAGAATGCCTCTGTATCCAGTGCCTGAAGGAGGTGGGGCATAGTTCCTCACTTATGTGTGAACTGTGCATGTGACTTCTTGCAGAGCCCAGCATGGAAAGGGCCTGAACAAGAGTAGCTTCATAGCAGAGAAACCTGACAAATACTTCTTCAAACCGGTTGTTGAGGGACACTCTACAAAATGTCTGACTGGTACTCTTCAAAATCATCAAGGTCATCAGAAACAGAGAAAGTCTGAGAAACTGTCGTAGCCATAAATATCCCAAGGAGACATAACAATTAAAGGTAACTGTGCTCTCCTGAATGGGATTCTGGAACAGAAAAGAGACATCAGGTAAAAACTAAGAAGTCTGAACACAGTGTGGACTTTAGCTAATAATCATACATTGCAGTAGGTTTATCAACTGTGACAAATGTACCATAGTAACAGAAGATGCTCATAATGGGAAAGTGGGTGTGAGGGACACAGGAACTCAATACTTCAGGGGCGCCTGGGTGGCTCAGTTGGTTGAGCGTCTGCCTTCGGTTCAGGTCATGATCCCAGGGTCCTGGGATCGAGCCCCGCATCAGGCTCCCTCTCCACTTGTGCTCTTTCTTGCTATCTCTGTGTCTGTCTCTCAAATAAATAAATAAAATCTAAAAAACTCAATAATTCTGTAAGTCTAAAACTGTTCTAACATAAAAAAGTGTATTAAGAAAAAAGAAAATGAGGGGTGCCTGGGTGGCTCAGTCGGTTAAGCCTCCAACTCTCGGTTTCAGCTCAGGGCATGATCTCAGGGTCATGAGATCGAGCCTGCGTCAGGCTCTATGCTCAGCAGGGAGTCTGCTGGAGATTCTTGGTCTCCCTCTTCCCCTCCTGCTCTCTCTCTCTGAAGTCAATAAATAAATCTTAAAAAAAGAAAAAAGAAAATGACTATATACCTAAAATACTTCAGGTTATAGATTGAGATGGAAAGCCTAAAACCTTTCTTTCCTTACAAGGCTAGCATGTCAAAAATTACACATACACACATGTTCACAATAATATTCACCCGAATTCAATTTTATATGCCAATGTAAAATTCTAGCCAAAGTATTACCAAATAAATCATGTGTTTTCATTACAACAGCCTATTAAGAAGAGATCATTTCAAGAATGTAAGCACAGTCAGATATTATTAATAATAATTATAATGAACTTACATAAACCTACTCAATTCTCACCACAGCACCTGAGGTAGGCTCTATTATTAACCCCATTTTACAGGTAGAATTTTGAGGCTGCAGATAGCTCAGTAATACGCCCAAGAACACACAGCTGTAAACAGCGCAGATCCAGGTGTCTGACTCTATGATTCAAATATATTTCATAAAACTCGTGCATCCACATCAAAACAAGAAGAAACAGGAATAGGATAGCTTCGTACAATAAAAGTGCAGGTCTCACCAACAAGAACAAGTCCCAGCAGCACACTTAACGGTGTGATGTGAGAAACATGCTCAGTGAATTCAAATATGCTCTCACCACTCCTATTTAACACTGTTTACAAACTGCCAGGGAATAAATTACCCAAGAGGATGAAATGTTACAAATAACAAAAGTAGCCATGCACTGTTTTCCACTATTAATACTTAACACATGTGTGGGTTTGGTTTTCTGCTCTAAACCCAGAGAAAGGAAATATGAAAATAATAGGGAGAGGACTCAGTTATAGAAACAATAAAAAGTCTCTTTAGAAACTTGTGTGGGGGCCGCCTGGGTGGCTCAGTTGGTTAAGCGTCTGCCTTCGGCTCAGGTCATGATCCCAGGGTCCTGGGATCGAGCCCCGCATCGGGCTCCCTGCTCAGCGGGAAGCTTGTTTCTCCCTCTCCCTCTGCCTCTCCCCCTGCTCATGCTCTCTGCTCTCTCTCTGTATCTCTGTGTCTCAAATGAATAATCAAAAAAAAAAAAATTAAAAAAAAAAAAAGAAACAAAACTTGTGAGGGACTTAACTGAAGAGAACTAACTGTAAGATTGCAACTCGGGCCAGAGAAGAAGACGTGAATCCACAGGGAGCCACCCCTGTTCTTGGCTAGGAGAAGACAATGCTCTCCATGGGGCAATCCCTCACAATGCCATCTGACACATCTATACAATGCTGATCAAAACTCCAATGTAAATTCGTGTGCATGAGGTAGGGGACAATCTCAACTGAACGCCCCGCCCCCACCCCCCCGAGTTAAACCAAAGGTGGGGGTCTCTGTCTCTACTCCTGGAACTTGACAGGCATGCCACCACACAACAGGAGACAGCCCTGGCCACTTCAACTGCGTTTGCTCCCCAACACGAGGCAGGAAACGGGACACCCGCATGCCTTGAGGATGGGATCATATATTACACTTCTGGAATTTCTCTCGAGGGACAGTCGATCAATCCTTCTAACTGTTGCCAAACTAACATACCTGGACTCAAGCCCAGGGATGACCCCAGACCCCTCATGGATCACTGGCAAATTTCGTGCGAGCCCAGATTACAGTATCAGGATGAAGCTGAAATGCTTCTGTAGTCCAAGCTAGCCTACCTTTGGTGCCTCATCTCCTCCCAGCCCCTGACCTGCTAATCTGCCTCATTCTCTGGTAATAGGGTGGGGTCCTTGGGAGTCATTTCCAACAAATCCTCTCTCTTACTATCCGTATCCCCTCGACCACTGCCTCCAGGCTGTTCTCTGTCCAATATCATTTCTTTCCAGTCCCACTCTCATGAGCTCATCCCAGAGCCCTGCCTCGAAAACCTTCCTAACACTCGCTCTGGCCAGTTCCACACCTTCTTCAAGTCTCTGCTCAAGTAATGATTCTGAGAAAGTTACTGACCCCTTACCTCCCAGGGGGACAGGTGTCCACCAGCCACCTGCAGAGCAATGTCTGCTCTCTATTTCTATTTCTCCTCCACAGACTGCAGTCTTCTCCCTCTTCCAGACTTAGGAAAGATGGGAGAAAAGCACCCTGATTATAAGACTTTCTGTGCCTCTTCATCTCAGGCTTTTGCTCAGTCCGACATGGGCTGGCCCTCATCATGCATCTCTGCAATTTTTCACTTAACTCCCAAAAGATGAGCCTGAGCATCGCCATACCAGCCATGGTGAATAGCACAGCCTGGCCTGGCCCACTCAATGCCTCCACAGAAGGGCCTTCCGCCCACTCCTGGGATGGCTGGAATGGAACTCTACGGCAACTTAAGGCAGTGGTAAGTTTCATGAGACTCCAGACCCTTTCTCTGACTAGGATGGCTTGACCTAAAGGGTTATTTATTAAGCATCTACTACGTTCAATGAACTATACTACACGAGAACATAATGTGGAGCTAAGGAGATTATATCTCTGTTAGTGTTTAGGAGTGTAACCAGGGACTAAGTTAGAATGCAGGAAACCACTTCAGTCTTTAGTGGACATACATTCTTCCCTTACGAGGATGAAAATCACAACCTAAGTTTCACAGATGTTTACTTTTACTTTCTTCCTTCACATATTTTTAAAGTTACCTTGCCTATAATGCTTTCTTCTTTATAACCTTTCTTTCTTTACGGGATCTCTTACATCTTAATGGGTCAGTTAATTGTGTAACCAGGGAAACTGTGTAAAAGGAAAGAGTACGTTGGGCATATGTTTGGGTTTTTGTTTTTGTTTTTGTTTTTAATGAAATTTGTAGGCTGGAGGAACCGGAGAGAAGTAGAAGGAGAGAGGACTGCCAGTTTTTTGTTTTGTTTTGTTTGCCTCTCAAGTTCACATGATAAACACTGTCAACTCTCTGGCCAAAGATGAACAGTGAGATTCTCTTTGTCCCCTAGGCTCCTCTGTATGACTGGAGTCCTGAAATCCAGGGGATCCTTCTCAGCTCTACCAACTATGGCTCATTCTTGGCTCCAATCCCTACTGGCTACATAGCTGGACTCTTTGGAGCCAAGTACTTGGTGGGTGTTAGCCTGCTTCTTTCCTCAATCTTGGCCCTCTTTATTCCATTGGCCGCAGATGCAGGCGTGCTCTCGCTCATTGTCTTGCGGATTGTTCAAGGCATAGCCCAGGTACCGAGATGCTTTTAAAGATAAGTGAGATACTGGTTACAAAACGACCTCAGATAGCCAAGAATGGAACTTTTTTTTTTTTCACCCCAGGTTATGGTATTAACAAGCCAGTTTTCAATTTGGGTCAAATGGGCTCCCCCACTAGAAAAGAGTCAACTCATCAACATCGCTTTATCAGGTAATTGATGCCCTAAATTGTCAACTTGATGCACTGTCCAAGAGTACTCTGCAATGGACTATCAACACAAGCAAAACCTTATATTCCAACTACCCTGTCTCCCTGCTTGAAAGCACGGCCGTGACTGTCTCACCCAAAATATCCTCACATCTTCTGTTTAGGGGAATTGATGGGATCCTTCATTACTTTGCTCGTCGGGGGTTTCCTCTGCGAGACCAAAGGGTGGCCTTCTATCTTCTATATCTTTGGTGAGTTTGGGCTTCTCAAATCTCAGGATTTAGGTTTTTTTTTAATTTAATTTAATTTAATTTTATTTTATTTTATTTATTTGAGAGAGAGAGCACAAGCAGGGTGCGGGGGCAAAGGGAGAAGCAGACTCCCCCCCAACAGGGAGCCCGATGTGGAACTTGATCCCAGGACCCTGGGATCATGACCTGAGCCGAAGGCAGATGCTCAACTAACTGAGCCACTCAGGCGCCCTCAGGATTTTGTTTTGTGACAGAGAATGCTGGGCATGCTTTTTGTGATGCAAGTCATCTATGGTTAACCAAATCCTAATAGATGTGACTATTTATATAACTAAAGTTGATAATGTTCAGAGTTAATCATGTTGTGAATCTTGCAAAATGACATTTACATCTCAGGAGCCTGGATGCATAGCTAGAATGACCTAATGACTTTAAAAGCATCATAATGTTCTGTCCTGCTTCTAAACCGAACACACAATGAAACCCAGAGGGATTTCTTTCATAAGACGTTGAAAATGGTATCTTGGTGGGATGATATTTTTAGTTATGCTTATCTATTTAATTCATTTTTTTAAAATCCTCCTATTATTACAACCAGAATATTGTAAGACTGTGACCTAATCACAAAATGCTGATTGGCACAGAGAATCAATCAGTAGAACCTGCAAGACAGTGCAGGCCGTGTGAAGCTCCAGAGTGGACGTAATGCATTAAGAGATGCTGCAGAAGGTCCCAAAGATGCTCGGAGTATTCCAGAGGCAGCATTCTACTACTTCACAACTTTGCCTTTACCCAGCCCTGGTGGGGGTCTGCCCAGCTGCTTGCAGCTAATGTTTGTGTTTGAGTTTTAAAGCATTCTCTGAAGTCCCATCTGCAACCTGTGTGATTCCAGTAAGACCACTGAGCACCACTGGTGCTTCCATCAGAGGATGATACTCTTATATCAAGGGTTCCTGTAACATCAGGTCAATATAGTCACTAGAAAAAGAAATGTGTGAAGATGGATTACTTCAGCATGGTGACCTGCAAAGGCTTTGTCATGGAAACTTCAAAGGGCAGGTTACAAAAATTATTCAAGCAACATGAGAGGCTTATTCTGCTCATGGTTTTCAGAAAGGGAAGCTACAAATGTATATCTGCAGGGAAGGAAGTCAGTAAAATACCTGTTGACATCCTCCACCCTCAATCTATTCCAGTGGTAATTTTTGTATCTATTCTTCCCTACTTGATTTTAAGTTCCTTGATGGCAAAATTGTATCTTTGTATTCTTATACTCTCAAAATCTCACAAATGCCTGGTGTAGGGTAGTTCTGTACTCTATGGTAACTCTTCACTCTCTACTTGTGAAGCAATGTGTAAAGGAGAAGCTAGCAAGTAAAAAGAGCTATTACGATTAGGGCAAGTGTGGTGAGGAGCACTGGGTGTTACACGCAACTGATGAATTGTTGAACACTACATCAAAAGCTAATGATGTACTGTATGTTGGCTAATTGAACATAATAAAAAAAGTATTGGGAAAATTGGTGATGTTTATATAAAATCTATAGATTAAATAATATTTTCATTAAAAAAATAAAATCTACACTCTGCTTCAAAAAAAAAAGAGGTTTTCTTAAGATTCTAAAAAAGAAAATTTTAAGATGAATTTTATTTCCACTCAACACTGGTAACGCTGGGTTGTTCCACACTGTCATCATGTATAGACAGGTGGTGGGGAAGCTCCCTCCACCAGTGATGGGGCCATAACATACATACAGATAGGAGTCGAATATTGGGGGCATTCTGTCAATCCCAGGAGTCATGTCAGTGCAGAGTCAAACTGAAAGAACTCCCATCAAGGGCTAATGCGATCTTCTTTCTAGGTGGAATTGGCTGTGCCTGTTCTTTTCTCTGGTTTCCTCTTGCTTATGATGACCCCATAAATCACCCGTTTATCAGCACCAGTGAGAAGGAATATATCGTGTGTTCACTGGCTCAACAGGTGTGTTTGATGAACTTCTCTGCCGGTTCCCTGTGTCCGTCCGGGTGTCTCGGGGGCGGAAGAGGGCATGAGAGCAAAGCTCTTGTCTTCTGATGGAGGAGTGTTGATATCTGCTTTTTTCCAGGACTGTTCACCAGGCTGGTCCCTTCCCATTAAGGCTATGATCAAATCCCTACCACTTTGGGGCATTTTAGTCTTTTATTTCACCGGATTCTGGACTTTTAATATTTTGATGGCATACATTCCAACATACATCAGCTCTGTACTTCAAGCTAACCTCAGAGATGTAAGTATAGAGAAAGCCCATTCTGTTCTTCTGTCTAAATGTCTCATTATATAATCCTCTGTCTCACTTACGGCCACAAAATCAGGGGATTAGGCCCAGGACCTTCGTGTAGGAAATGCATCCTGGTTGCGTGAATTCTGAATCATCTCACCGCAACCTACTGCTTACTGGGGAAGACTGGGACGGTTCTAGGGAAGCGTGGCATTCACAGAATGTCCTGTTTTCTAAGGGACCGATGCAAAACTTTTATGTTCAATCCAATCAGCATTTGCAAACAAGATATTCTGCTGGCAGCATTAACGATACAGTGTTAACAAAACAAATTCTGCCTTCCAGAAGGCTTGGCAGGGACCATAAACAACATCTGCTGAAAACATGTCCCAAATAGGACTCCTACCCAAAACTTGCAGAGAATGGTCTTCTAAAAAATGTGTTATTCAAGTATGATATATCCAAAGTGCACCTGTGTGTACAGCTGAGTTTTCACAGAATGAACAGGTACCCTGATGGGTGGACAGGAGCCTTTAAATTTCTACAAGATGGAGGTCTTAGAAGTGGCAAAGAGTGTATCAGATTTCAGAGCCTATTAGCGGCAGTTCACAAGGTTACTGAGTGACTGCTACATTCTTGTGTTTGGACGAAAGCAGCAGTGCTCTCATGTTGACTGGGCTCCCCTGCTAACTGGCCAACAGAGAGCTGACTTTCGGAGCAGAGGTCAGAGTCCAGGGCGCACGCATTGCAACAGGCTGGAGGTACTGAGATCAGAAAGCCCAGGGGTTGAGTGGCCATGGGTCTCCACAAAGGAGGAGGCCAGAAGCGGGCAGCAAAGCCAGAATCTCAGGTGAAGCCATCAGGGGACAGGAGGTCCGAACAGACATCCCTGAGGCCAGCTGTTGGGAACGGTTTGTCTCTGCTGTGAGGCCAAGGGGGCTCCCCATCTCAGAGGCCAAGGCTGAGGGCAAGGAGGATGGCGGAAGGACTGGAGAGACCAGTGGAGACCAGACGGTTGAGACCAGGCTTTCTCAGCTTGGGAAGAGTCAAGAGGCCCCGACTCCTGTTGGTCTCAGGGTGGCTTCTCCCTAAGTCACAAAACCTTGGTGGCTTCGGTTTACTCATCCATGATATGAACAGTTGGGACACGATGACGGTTAAAGCCTTTCCATTTGGGGGATTATACACAACATTTCTTTCCTTGCATTTTCTTTAATAACACTGTAATACAGAGGCTGAGCTGATCAAACCGGGGTTCAACATTTTTAAAACTATATCCAAAGATAGGAGTGAAAAATCTTCCTCCCTTTCCCATCCCCAGTCTGTCCTCTTCTCCTAGCCCACTCCCAGCCACAGATAACTCTTTTTTATTCTTTCTTATATATTCTTCCACTGCTTCTTTATGAGGATGCAAGCATACATGAACATATCTTCTTATTTTGTCACTTTTTTTTTTTTTACACAAAACATTATGTGCTGTGTATGCTACTATTCTTTGTATATTACGCCACTGTGATCTTTTCAGATCAGTACACGGGAAACTTACTGCGAGACATTTGGGTTGTTTCCAATCTCTGAGCAAAAAACCTTGCTCATCTGCCACACATCTGAGCAACTGTTTCTGCATGTCTGAGTTCAGGGTAGATGCAGTGCAAACTTTTGTATCTACTGTCAAATTGCTCTCCATCGGGCACTGATAATATTTGCAAGTACCCAGTTTCCCACAGCATTCCTGTAGATCAGGTCAAAAAACTGTTGATCGGTGAAAAAGTAGTTCTTTTCACTATGAGGTTGGACAACTTTTAATACGTTTAGGAGTCCCTTATTTTCCTTTTTCTGTAAGTTGTTCCCGTTTTTTGCCTATTTTTCTACTGGGTTTTGTTCTTTTTAAGAAATCTATTTCCAGGTGACCTTTATATATGAAGAGAGCATTGGTCTTTTTTTTTTTTTTTTTCCAAATTGAACTATATGCATATTTTCTCTCAGGCACCAAAATTGTGTTGGCTCATTCCAGTAACCTGAAATTTGTATTCAAGGAGATATGTATAAAGAGAGAAGCTATACAAGTAGAAAGTCACCCAAGGGTCAGTGTGTGTCGCAGTGTGGGAGTGAGGCTTGCACCTTACTTGTCTCTGGTCCTCAGAGTGGAATCCTGTCAGCCCTGCTGTTAGGTGTTGCCTTTATCAGCACTATCCTTTGCGGTCTACTGGCGGATTTTCTTCACTCCAGAAAAATCTTCAGACTCGTTACCATCAGGAAACTCTCTACCACCATTGGTAAGGACTGAGGTAGATCCTGGGATGGATGCGGGAAGCTCTGGGTGGTTTTGATTCACTCTGTGTTTGTCCTCCCGCTGCAGGGGTTCTTGTCCCATCTGTGGTCCTCGTGTCCCTGTACTGGGTCAGATCCAGCATCAGCACCAGTATGGGCTTGTTGGCACTGTGTTCCGCTGCCACCACCTTCTGCCAAACAGGATCCCTTATTAACTTCTTGGATATTGCTCCTCGGTAGGGACCCCTTTGCCACATCCACACAGAAGCTCAGCTTAGGTCCCGCAGCCTTAAACTCACTCGGATGCCCCAGTTCCATGTGGGTGATCCGTGCTGCAGGTCACAGGAAATGTCAGCATCAGCCCTACATCCAAATAATTCCTGGAAGGGACCCAAAGCTAGTCCACCACTGTGCACTCAGTTTTCCAGGTGAAAACAGGAAGCAGTGGCCACACTCACAGCTCAAGTGGGGACAGGAGGTGACTCACACCCATATCTCTGTCAGGGAATGCAGCAGTCACACGGGGTTGGATCGGTGAAGGACCCTACGGTGCCGGTTCACTTAAGGCTTTAATAAAGTTTGACTAACAGGAGAGCAAGAGAAACACTGACCTCTGATAGAGGTAGAATCAAAGAGGACTGGGGTTTCCAAATGTAGCTCCCAGGATCCTTTCACGGTCAGTAGAACATGCTCTATCTTCAGATAACCAACCGCCATGACCCATGGGAGATGCCCTGGTCTCAGAGGAGCCAATGACTCATCCACTGAGGGGTCTTTTTTACCCAAAAACAAGGCTGCAAGATCAGGTTCCATAGCAGAAACTAAGAGAACGTACAAACTAGATGCAAACCATCCATCTGTACATTTTGTATAAACAATGTTGACAAGTCAGTACAGCTGACCCTTGAGAGTCTCAGACCCTCAGGCGGGATTATACTAATCACTAGTCAGCACATTTCATTCAGGCTTGACCAAGGGTCGACTCTGGGCACCCCCAGAGACAAGCACAGAGTTACAACAAGTAAGCTGAGGTGCATGGTTTGCTTATACTGGAATATTCTTTTCTGTCTCAGGTACACCAGCTTTCTCAGGGGACTATCACAAGTCTTTGGCCACTTATCAGGAGCCATTTCTTCCACTGTTGCTGGATTCTTAATCAGTCAGGTGAGGTCGAATGCTCTGATGAAAATATTCATGAGAGAAACCTATGGAGGTTACTCAGGAGAAGTCAGACTGAAGATACTTTTGTTCCCTCCCCAACGGGGCTCAACTTAAAGCTCAAGAGTCCTGAACCCCCTCACGACTTCCCCCCAGGCTCAGCTCATGGAGGGCAATTACCACAGGTTTTGGGTGTGGAGCGATAATGAGCGCTCAGTTTTATGAGTTTATACTTTAAGAGTTTTTAGAAGTTTTTCATGCTAATCATCAAAATTTATAGCAATATTCATGGCATTTCTTGCAAAGTATAGAGGGGCCAACCATTCTGGTTTGCCCGTGATTGAGGGGTTTCCCTTCCAGTCGCTAATACTGTCAGGAAATGGCTTTTAATAGGGAAATTCTCAAACTGAATGTTTCCCTTGTCATCCCTTCATTCATCCATTCGTTAATTCCACTTTAGCATGTGCCACGCAGTTTAAGTGGATAAAACAAACAAAAGTCCCTGCCTGGTGAAGCTTATATTGTAGGAAAGAAACTGATGGAAAACTAGTGAAATCAGTAAAATATAGAGTATACTGAATGGTGGCAAAGTGCGAAGAGAAGAATAAAGCAGGAGAGGAGGACAGGGCACATAGGAGGGGGTGGGATTTCAATTTTAAATAGGGTGGTCTTGGAAGGACTCACTGGAAAGGTAACATTTAAGTAAGGACTAGATGCAAACAAGGGAGGGAGACAAATGGCTATTGGGAGGAGGACTATTCCGGCAGAGGGAAAGGCCAGGGCCCAGGGAATGACCTGCGTATTCCAGGAACAACCAGGAAGGCCACAGAGGCCAGAGCAGGGGCTGGGGAGCTGGACATGCTCCAGACCTTTCTGAATTGGAGGGGCAAGAGCCAAGAGACCATTAACACTTTGTAATTTCCTGCTTCTAGGATTCTGAGTTTGGCTGGAGAAATGTCTTCTTGACTTCAGTTTCTATTAACGTGTCAGGCCTGGTCTTCTACCTCATCTTCAGCCAAGCAAAGGTCCAGGACTGGGCTACAGAGCAGACAGTTACTCAGCTCTGAGCAAACTGGGTGCCTCAGATCCCAACGTTTAGCCATTCATCGTTTGCCCTCATGGACGTTCCCTCTTAGTACCTGCTTGACTGGTTAGCCATTTAATTTGCATTGACTTTGTTTCCAGTATCTTCTCAGAGAGCTTGGCTGTGGAATACTGAAGGTTCTGCCTGCAGAGGTTACAGAGGTAGGTGTGGGTTGGGGAAGGCCAGTTATTTAACTGTGAGCTCTGGAAAGCATAGGTGTGTCTGAATTTCCAAGTGTTGTCCACTCTGCCCACTATTATTGTGACTTAATAAGAAATACATATTTGGTCTCTGCCCCCACTTTCTGGAACAGAGCTCCAGAATTTCAGATTAGTGAAATCTCAGATTTCTTGAGTGGTAGAGATGATAGGAGCACCTTTTGTCATAATATTTGGACTCAATCCCTGGTTCCCGACACAAGAGCTTCTAAGACCTTGGAATTTGTGGAGTGATGAGAGTGCCTTGGGTATTCTATTGAGATGACTGGTGGCTGGGGGCCACCCATGGCTTCTGGGGATCACTGAAGCTACCCATAGCTTCAGGATGGGGGCTGGTCTCCAGAAAGACCAAGGCATGAGTAGAAGGTTGGAATTCCAGCTCTACCATCCCACCTCCAGGAAGAGGAGAGGGGCTGGAGATTGAGTTATTCCTCAGTTGCCATTTACTCAATCATATCTCTGCAATAAAGCCTCTATAAAAACTTGAAATGACGGAGTTCCAAGAGCTTCTGGCTTGGGGAGCATAGGGAGGTCCTGGGACAGTGGTGACCCAGAGAGGGCAGGGAAGCTCTGCGTCCCTTCCCACATTCCTTGCCCTGGGCATCTTTTCCTTTTGGCTGTTCCTAAGTTATATCCTTTATAATAAAGCAGTAGTAATAGTTAGCAAACTGTTTTCCTGAGTTCTGTGAATCATTCTAGCAAATTATCAAATATGGGGGGTCATGGGAACTCACAACTTTGTAGCCAAGTCAAACAGAAATGTGGGTACCTCAGGTACCCACTACTTTGATTGGTGTCTGGGGGGGGCCGCCTTGTGGGATGAAGCCCTTAACCTGTGGGGTCTGCACTAATTCCAGGTATTAGTGTCAGAACTGACTTATATTATAGGACACCCAGCGGGTGCTGCCAGGGAATGAGAGCACTGCCTGGTGTGGAAAACCCACACATTTGTTGTTAGAAGTGCTAAGGACAGAAGCCCTTTTCCTTTAGTTATCCTGGTAAAAGCTTCAGGGGACACAGGACAATTTCTCACCAAAGCAAAAAAGGAAGCCAGAACCATGGGAGTGAGAACAGAGGATCACAAGAGGAATTGTGTCCAAACAACCAGATGATGAATCCCAAGAGCTATCTTCCAAAGAGAGCCTCAAACAATGGAAGCCAGAGTGTACACAATCCAAAGTCCTAGGCCAGGGAGTCAGAGCAAGTCAAGCTGCCCTCACATCAAGGAAGGACGGACACAGGGCCATTCTGAGGCTCGGCTGAAGCAAGATGCCCAGGAGAAAAATACCAAGGAGAAAGAACGATGAGGACTGAATCCACCATACGCAGAGAAATGCTCAGGCTTGTGACTAGTGACAGTGGGGTAGGAAACCTGGGCTCTTCCAGATAACTTACTTTCTGTGGATGCTCGTGCTGGAATCAGAGCCGCCTCTTTCAGGCATGTAGCGCTCAGGGGTCCCCCAGACGCCACTTTTCCCAATCACCTTCTTTCTGGCCGTCGTAACCTCTGCCCCGCATCTGGTCTGTGGATCCATGTAGATCCCTCGCACCGTAGGGAACAGACGTTGTCCAGGGTCCCTCCTCTGCCCTCGAACATCTGTTCCTGCGGCCTCAGCTGGTCTGCACGCCCTTGCTCGGCTCTTCTGTCTGCTGGAATCCCGCCTGCCTTCAGTGAGCCTCACTCCACGGTCACCTCATTCACTTACCAGTTCTTCCTAAAGTGTGTGTGTAAGACCCACGCTGGCTTGACCCCACTCCACAGTCTGCAGAGTGCGTGTGTCCGCTTTCATTAATCCCCCACGTGGGCAGGATCGGGACCATGAAACAAAGTGACAGCGTCGAGCACTAAATCAGTACTAATGAACATATAACGTGGGTTCCCGGCAGAGACCCAAGTCAGACCCAGCTTCAGGGAGGACGACGTCTCAGGAGAGTGGATGACACACACACATGTGGATGATGACTGTGGGAAAGGAAATAGAAAGGGGGACACGGGTGAGGGGTAAACAGATTATTCGCGGTAGGAGATACACCTGACAAGACTCGGATACCAAACAAGTGGCAGGTGTATGGGGTGACTCCTAGGTTGTGGTCTGCTACTGGACAGATGGGGATGCCTGCGGGACAGAGAGCACCCAAGTGAAGGTGACAGGAAGGAAAGTAGACACGAGGGAGATCTGGGCTTCACGTGGGACTCTAGGAGGCTTCTAGATACAGGTGGTGATTGAAATGCTTGGCATGGCGGAGGCTGCCCTGGTGACAGGATGGCGTAAGGAGGGAAAGCCTGCGAACGAGGCTTACAGAACTCTGAACACTGAATGGCCAGCCTGGGCGATCATTAAAGGAAAAGGGAAAGAAGAGGAAACTAGAAAGAGAGAAGGAAAGCCAAGAGAATAGGGTGCTCAGAGAGAGAAGGGAGGCATGTGTTTCAATAAGGAGCGGATCAAGAAAGGAGCTTGAAGCAAGCATGACTCAAACCTGCGGGAAGAATCTAGTCGGAAGGAAAAAAATGGACTCTGCTAAAGAACACACACGAGTGCAGGTTCCCGAGGAGGCTGAGGGTAAGGGAGGACCGTGGGCCCGAAGCCCGGGTGGGTGGATGACTGGAGATGCGTGGGGGCCACTCCTGCCCTTTCACAGCTGGCTCAAGACCACGTCCTGCCCTCAGGGCACCTCCAACACCTCCCCTAGTTCCTCCCTCCACGCACCCGCCTCCACCCTGGTTCATTTACGACACTTCCCTCCACCCCCTCTGACTGTAGACTCCGGAAGTGCAGGAACCATGGCACAAATTGCTTTGTAATGTCTTTAACACACAACCACCGCGTCTCGTACAGAGTCAGTACGTACGGGTGTGGGTGAGTGGGTGGGCGTTCAATCACCGTGCACCTCAATGCGTGGAATGGCCTGTGGTGGTGTGTGAGACCAGTTAGGGAAGAAATGGCTGAGAAGGTAAAGGACCCAATTCTTCTTTAATTTCCTTTGTTTCTCAGAGCATAGAATTATCTAAACCTACAAATCCCCTTCCTTATCCCATCTGGTGTTGAGACTGAGAGACTGGATCTCTCCTTTCCCCATCTCTGGCAATTACACAGCCAACCCCAGGCTCTCAGCAGCCAGGATCACGGGGTTTGCCCATCAGGGCAGTGGCTCGTACTTGTTTCTGGACCACCCCTGTGGGCATGTATTTCTCTCCTTTCTTTCAGTGGACTCTTCTGTTTTTTCCTCATCTGTCACTTTTAGTTGCTTCTGGAAACAAGTTTGATTTCCCCTTGGCCCTGACTAGTACAGTTTCCCCCAAAATGGGCTCCCTTAAAGTACAGAGACCTTCTCAGATTTTCCACTGATCCACACATCTGCAACACAGAGGAGTGAAACCTGAAAACAGGGGAAAAGTTCTTTCAGAAAATCTTAGGATAACATTTATTTTCTTGCGTTTGTTTATTGGTTAAGGTAGCCATCATTTATAAAGCAAAGAATGTGGAGTGGAGACGAACAAACCTACATTTAAAATTCAGACCTGCTACCTGGTCCAAACAATATATGGCACAAAAGAGATGCACACGGGGTGTAGGGTGGGGACTGGCCATCTTCTTCCTTGGGCCGCTGACTGCCCCTCAGTCCCAGCTCCCAGGCTGGTCCCTCTTCCCTTCAGTGAGGAGGTCAGTCCCAGGCTCTCTCAGTGTTCTGCTTTACACTAAGTTTTGTAGAGAAAGAAAAAAGTGCACACAAATGTCACTGGTGAGTCCTTGTATCCTGCGGACACAGGAAAGCTTTAAAAACAGTTCAAGGGACTAGTCTGGCCAAGTCTTTTTTTCTCAAGCTGTCTTCCTTGTCCCAATGACAGCTTATCCTAGGCATCTGCTACTCTGCTCTCCTCCCGACATAAAAATAAATGTGACTGGTGAACGATTCCAACATCGTGCTAGGTCCAGGCACACAGGATGAGACTGTCATCACTTGCTCTCTATCTGTGTGGTGTCCTGAAACATTGCACATCTTGGGGTTTGCCGCTCAAGCAGTTTGATATTGCTGCCCTCCCTTATTAATAAGAATACATTTTATCTACAGCAGTAACAAGGCACAGTTTTTGTACTTCAGCAAATGCCTATTTTGTGAAATGAAGACTTCCCTTTGTGCCCGCATACGCTCTGGTCTTGCTCAGAAGCATCCCCCGTCCTTTCAAAGAACAAACTGCTAGAGCCTGTGCCCACTGGGAGACCGGACTGAAACCCAGCTTCACCTGGTTACAAAATCCAGAAAGGGCAAGTGCCCTAGACACATCTTTCCTCTGCCTAACAGATTCGTCCAGGGCGGCCCAGCAGGGAGGGATTAGGAGTGAGGCCGGGACGTGTGACATACGTGCTGAAACCTGACCACGGTGTGGACAGTGTCTCTGTTGTCTGAGAGCCTGACACAGGGTCTGGAGCTGAGACGGGTGGGAGGGCTAACGTCCATAAGGACCAGTCAGCCAACCCAGGAGAGCTTCACATGGGCCAGCCCCCTTCCTGCGTTCTGTAATTCTTCACCTTTCTGACTCTCCTGAGCCCCCACCCCTCTCCCCATTCCCTTGTCCTCCCTTTAAAATGCCCCTCACCGCTGTATGAATAAAAATTTGAGTTCGGATCTCTCTAGACTCGTTTCCCTTTTGCAACAGTATATTACTGATTAAAATCTGGCCTTACCACTTTCAATAGCATCTAGCTTTGTTTATCTTGGGTCTTAGGGTAGGATGTCAGCACCCAAGAGAGATGAGGAGGGTTTCCATGGTCCAGGAGGGGTGCCCCGGGGTAGGGTGTCAGAGCATGGGCAAGAAAGCAGGGAAGAACATAAAATGGGGAAAAGACGGTCACTTCAATAAATGGTGCTGGGAAAACTGGGCAGCTAAATGCAAAACAACGAA